TGTTAAAGATATTATCATGGAACAGTCAGGGTTCATTGTTTGCTAACTTTTCTGACAAAAGTTTTGTTGATTTTATATTATCATATCATATTGTTGGCATAACTGAAACATGGATGATATTTTCGTTGAAAACCCTTCTTTCATCACTGGACTCTCAATTCTATTTCATTGAAATGTTAGCTCATAAACTTGAGGGACCTGGAAGACCATCTGGAGGTTTGTTTTTAGTGGTGTCTCGGAAACTTGGTGAGTTAGAAATTTGTCATCTCTCTGATAACTTTATTATAGCTAAACTTACATTTGATAAACATCTGTTTAGAGATCGTCCTGGGCTCTTAATTGTTCTGGTTTATATATCTATTCATAAATACGATTCATTGATTGAGTATCTTGATAGACTGATTCTGGATCTTAAAGATGTTGATGATATTTTGATTCTCGGTGATTCCAACGCTAGAATTGCTTCCGAATTAGATACACTATATTTAGGTTCTAATAGAAATTTTTATAATACTAGAAAATCTAAAGATAAGATTTTTAACTATAGAGGAAAAGGATTTTTGAACTTGATCAAATCTTATGGTATGATTTTATTGAATGGTCGATTCGTTACTGATTTCCCTGCTAATTTTACATTTATTTCCTCTTTGGGTGCATCAGTTATTGATTTGATAGCTACAAATCCTGAATTAGTTGATAACTTGGTCGACTTTAAAGTTTTGAATAAATTTGATTCTGATCATCTTCCTATTTCCATTGAGTTCAGGTTTGATTCTCTTCCTTTCAGCAATGAATTGCCTACTGAAATATGTCGTTATGTGTGGAGATCTTCATGTTTGGACAAGTATTTGTATAGTGTCACTCAGCGATATGCAGAAATTAAAGGCGGATTTTTTCTGGATTCTTTTTCTTTTTATTCGTCTTTTGTTGACGCGATTCTTGAGTCTGTAATTCAAAGTAATATGTATGTCAAATATGACTGCTCAAGAAAATTTGTAAAGTCTTGGTTTGATATTGATTGCCTACGATTGAAGAGAGAGAAGAATCGTGCTCTACGTTTATTTCGGCGATCAAGAAGTAAACAACAATTTATTATTTATTCTAATTTGGAAAAAACTTTTAAATCTCTCTGTAAAGCCAAAAAGAAACTATTTTGGAATAAGATTAATTTTCAATTATCATATATTAAAAACTCTGCTGAATTTTGGAAAATTGTTAATAAATTTAGAAACGGCAAAGTTGTGTATAATAACATTTCTATTTCTGATTGGTCGGTTTATTTGAAAACTTTTTTTTCTGGGCCATCTTTAGCTGTACTATCTATTTGTACTAATGATAATACGGATCCATTACTCGATGAAAATTTTTCATTTGATGAATTACAATTTGTAGTAAAATCTCTAAAAAATAACAAAGCCCCTGGATTAGATGCTGTAAAGGCTGAGATGATTAAATTCCTTCCGATTAATATTTTAAATGATTTGCTATCTTTATTTAATAATTTTAAAACTAATTACTCTTTTCCTATTACTTGGAAAAATGTTTGTTTAAAAATGATATATAAGAAGGGTAATCGGTTTGATCCTTTGAATTATCGTCCGATATCGTTAATTAGTGTAATTAGAAAAATTTTTTCTACGTTATTGGCTAATCGTTTGCGACTCTGGCTTGAGCGGTCTCATACTATTTCTATCGGTCAAGGTGCTTTTGTAGTGAATAGAGGTGTTGGCTATAATTTATTTATATTTCTTGGAATTTTGCAATTAATTTTGACTAAGAAGCGGAGGAAACTATACGTTGGATTTATTGATTTGTCAAAGGCGTTTGATGCAATAGACCATGATATTTTATGGTCGAAGCTTTCTCGGATAGGTATATCATCATCTTTTATTAATCTTATAAGACAATTGTTTTCGAACACCACTTATCAAATTGAAGTTAATCGTTGTTTTTCGGAGACGGTAACTGCTAATAAAGGTCTTCCACAGGGTGAACCACTTAGTCCTATTTTATTTAATTTATTTGTTAACGATCTTCCGGAATTTTTTTGTAATCATAACACTATGGGTATATCCATATCATCGGAGATAGAATTGAATTGTCTTTTGTTTGCTGATGATATTGTAATATTTTCGTATTCACCTATTGGTCTTCAGAAAAAACTTGATCTTCTACAAGACTACTGTAAATCTAATAAACTATTTATTAATGAGATTAAATCTAAAGTAATGGTTTTTCGGAGAGGAGGTAGACTGGGAAAGGCTGATAAATTCTATTTATCTAACTCTGAGTTGGAGATTGTTTCGTCCTATAAATATCTGGGTATTTATTTTACTCCACAGGGTTCATTTTCTTTTCACCTAGACAAACTGTTTTTGAAATATAAACTTCAGCTTTCTAATTTAATAAAGCTTATGGTAAGAATGAAACAGTCTTCCATTAAGTCGTATTACCGATTGTTTGATTCCTTGATACGTTCAAGTATAGGCTATATGTTCCCTATTTGGGGATCATCTTTCGTTGATAAATTGGAGAAGACGCAATTGAGATTTATTAGATCGATATTTCATATTAATCGTTCGGTGCCTGGACCTGTCTTAAGATTTGAACTGGGTCGTCCACCAATGGCTATACGTTTAACAATGATCATTTTTAGATATTGGAGTAAAATTTTGGAGTTACCAGACTATGATCCTAGAAAGTTGATCTATAACAAGTTGAAATTAATAGATGGAAATTCTTCGTTTAAAACTTGGTCCTCGTCAGTTGAAGGCTTATTGAATGATTTAGGTTACTCTACTGATTATTATGCTCAAATTTCTGATAAAAAACTTTTTCTGGCTGAAATGTCTCAGTCATTAAGGGATAAATATTGGACCCAAGACATTCATTATATTGAGCAAAAGTGTAGGTTTCTTGAGACTTCCTTTGTATCTCCATGGACACCTCGATATTATTTATTATCAAATTTAAAATATAATATTAAATCTTTAATAATTCAGTTACGTCTCAACGACTATACTATTGTATTAAATAGGCGCAGAATGAATATATCTGCCCATTCTAACTGTCCATTATGTAATAGACTTTGTGAAAGTATTAAAAACCATTTATTTGTATCTTGCGAAATTACCGAGCATTTAAGAGATACTTTATTGACAACCGATTTTGATATGTTTTGCTTATATGACGACAATTTAAGTTCTGATATGTTATTTAAAGTTTATAAATTTTTCTGTTATTTATTAAATATGCTAACATAATTCATTATTAATTAAGCTTTATTGTTATTATCATTTATTGTTTGTGTTGTTGTTCTTTTTGAAACCATGTATAACAATCTTTTTATTATTAATGCTACACGATTTTGTAACCCCTTTGCAAAGGCGAAAGCCATAGCAAATAAATGTTGATTGATTGATTAACAATGAGCACTTAACACGTAGTAAAAAATAGTTAATATTAATAATATAATAACAATGGTAATTTATAGTATTATTTGTTTTATTGTGATCAATTGATTTCTTAATCTAATAAAAAAATGGGGCCCCATTGAAGGTTAATAAGCCCTAGGCCCAAAAAAACCTAGATCCACCCCTGTGAGTAGTAAAGTAGGCTACTAAAGTAAAAAATGATTGGGTAGATGCAGTAGATCAATGTGCAATATTTATTCTATACAGATAAAATCAAGATGGCCATTTGCTATATTTTTTTTATGTTAACATACATTGCTTCCCAGGCAATAGTGAACTCTTTAAATCAGAAGCCTCATCCTCTGCCTTTCTTTCCTTCTGCCTTTTAACGGGAGAAAGTTTTTACACGATTAGGGTGTTAGTCCCATACGCAACCCCGACCCGGATGATCTGGCCTTAGTCTGGCCCCTATCCTCTGACTTGTTTGGTATGGGTATCCCCGTTGATAGTAATGCTGCTGCCAAGGTAGCTCGCGGGATCTTGAGGGCATGAAGCCTGCTTGCCACATCAAAGTGGGATCTCGGAGTAGGTTTTATATGCTAAAGCAGCTAAATATACTTATTTGCTCTAAACGCTCTTCAGTCGGTCTTTAGTCTGTAATACTCCATCTTTGGAATTTCAAAAAAAAAAAAAAATCAATTTCTTTACAGTAAAATTGGTTTAATGTTGCCTTAAAGTTAAATGAAGAATGTAAATACCATAAAGAAACAAGATTTAATTAGGTTATTATTATTATTAGTCTATTATTATTATTACTGGATCATCTTGCAACTTTCCATCTCGACCAATCTTGCAACCTTATTTTCCATCTGGTAGAATCAATTTTGCTATTTAAAATGAAAATTCGACGACAATAATTGTAAATGACTACAAATCTATCTTTCTTCGACGAGGTTGTAAAGGAGTGACGTTAAGTGATGACTCTCTGTAATCATTCGCACTCTTACTTCAGATTAAGAAAACGAGAATTCTAAAACATTCGATATCTAGTCTATCTATGGCAGAACTCCAATTAACCTAACGTCCAATTATTCGAACCACCACTTGTCCTCCTCTGTCACTCTCCCACTGACGTCATGCTCAATTCTCTTACTTGTGCAACTGCATGATCGGTAACACCAATTTGTTGCGGCAGATCCAAATGATCGGCAAGATGCTACTCGTACATTGATGAATAAATATACTATGTGTATCAGTGTGCAATCCTGTAATTTCATTCTTTATGTGTTATTCTACTTATCTGAATCACATGCAGAATGAACTAATTCGGATAATCGGAATTATACTGTATTATAGTTTTCTATAATACAGTAGTTCTAGTTCTGTATTATATTCTACTGTATTATAAGTTTTTATTAATGATATTAAAAATCTTTGAAATTTTTTAAATCTTAGAGATTTAATTTTTTAAATTTTAGACATTTAAAAAATTTCAAAGATTTTATTCAATATTATCATTAATAAAACATTAAACATATTAGGATATACATAATACAGAGTAATTTGTTGAAAAATCCAAAATATGTATTGTATTGTATATTTATTTTATTTATGTACATGTATAAACATACAAAACTTATAAAATGATTTTGTTCTAAAATCTTGTTCCGAAAGTGCTTCTAGATGCTTTTTGATTGCTGTTATCGTCGTGGGATTTGATGGTAAGTGTCATTTTTGGACCGGTTTTCCATTGTGCTTCCGTCTCGTCGATAACCGTCGCTTCCACCGTGACTAAATGTAATCCGGGTACAGAAAATGCTAACAAAAACTGAGCTTGAAAATAATCGTTGTGGGGTGTGACCGTTTGTGTCATAGAATTATTTGTTTCTTGGGTCACCTGCAAGTGAAACCAAAAATTATTCATCTAAAATTTACGTAAACTATAATTATATAGTTTATTTCAATATCTATTAAGGTCGTCAAATAAAACTTAAAAAATAAAATTTATTAAATATTTAATCATGGATATTAAATAAGTGAAACATATTAAAACATATTTAATTATTATAAGATTGTTTAAATTTAAAAAAAAAATGTGAGCTTTAAAACTTCTATATATCAAAAGTAAATTTGTATATATTGTATTGCAGTGTTTCCCAAACTTTCGACATCTGTGTACCCCTTCTATAATTTTCGTAATGCTGAGTACCCGTCGTCAAAAAAAAAAAATTTGCATATACTTTAATAACAATCAAAATATATTTATTTTTTCCTTTTTTAGTACATAAACAAAATAATAATAAACAAAAGTTATATTATAAATAAACAATTTTATCCTTCTCATTGATCCTAATAAATTTTATGTTGAGATGACAGTTCATCATAATTTGTCCTAGATATAGGTACCAAATTATCGTTTATATAATATTGTTCCTAGATACAGTGATATGGACTTTAGGTCTCATTTTCGTGTTTCTAGAAGCACTATCGAAGTAACTCTCTGCTAAGAATTGTTAGTTGTAGTAACTATCTACAGAAAAATTGCTTTATTCGGCATTTTTAGCTTTTTATTAATACTAAAACACATAACAAACTTTTCTTATTAGAAAAATCGCACAAAAGCTAAAAATACACATGTGCGTGCTGTAACAGTTCAATGTGTAGATACTGGAGGTTTTTGTGTGACACTTGTCTGGGCCATAGGGTGGAGGAATGCACAGAATTACAGTGCCCGGCAAAACAACTAACAGGTAATGAAGTTTTTTTTTTATTATTTTTCTATGTTTGTAATCAAAAAGAAGTAAACTGCTTGTTGCACCAGGCGCAGCCAAAGCATGGTGCAGCATGTACCCCACTAAACTCTTCCCATACCCCTGGGGGTACATATACCACACTTTGGGAAACACTGTTGTATTGGATAAGATTGCAATTATAAATTAATAGAATTAACATAGTTTTGTATTATTAATACTAACATACAAGTATTTATTATAATACCAGAAGACAACTATAATAAATTCCAGCAGAAATAAATATTTAATGCAACTGATAAACATTTTTGGCCTCAAATCAAATAACATAAACTGATAAAATTCATAACACCTAAACATTCTAATGTCAAACATCAAACTCTATGGGTTTGTCATCTGACCCAAAGTTGCCCTATTAACGTGGCAGAAAACATTAGTCAATTGTGTTAAACATTTCGGCTGGAATTTATTTCAGTTGTTTTCTTGTCTTGAGTGTTATACAAGTTTATGAAGAGTGTCTAAATACAATATTTACACTGTCTGTTCTATTGTTCAAACTTGAAATAAATTAAATGCATGAACATTTTAAAAAAATTATGCAAAACTAGAAATTTTAGTCTCATATTTTACTACATGTTTTTATCTATCTTGTTATATTTTACTATAAAACAAGGCAACTTTTTCTTTTGGATTAAATTTTTAAGTGTCAAGAAGCTGTAGTTTTAATACATAATAAATTCCACTGTATAAATATATTTACATTGAACTATGATAAGTCAAAGCCATTTGCATTCCCAGTTAGTCTGGTATACGGATTTACATGTTAATTTGAGTTTATAAGTCAAAATTGTTGTACTTTTACTTGAACATAGTTTAACCTCCAATTTTTTTTTTTGACAGATACTTCCTGCTTGCTAGTTATTGAACCTATGTGTAAATAATTTAATTATGTTTTAAAATTAATCTTTTTAACATGTGATAGTAGAGAGGTTGAGGCGCACGTTTTAAACATGTAAACGTGTACGTGTACGTTCGGCGCCGCTTTCCCGTAAGCCTAAAAGTTTGACAATGGTGTTTGGATAGTCGGTGGAATCACGCTCGACATTTCAAACACCATCGTCAAACTTTTAGGCTTACGGGAAAGCGGCGCCGAACGTCACACGTACACGTTTACACGTTTAAAACGTGCGCCTCAACCTCTCTATTCAAATACAACTGAAGTTTAAATGTAGCAATCACTATTGGTTATTCAGTTGGTTTCAATTCAAACATTAGTTACTTGAAATGTAATTGTATTCATCAGATCAAGTATATAATCCATTATATTCTTACAAAACACTGTATTATTTTACCATTTGGTTACTGAAGATGCCAACCACTATACACCATTAAAAAAAGAAGCAAATATACTTTAATATTATATACTTCACTCTTATAGAAATGCAAATTGTAAATATGACAGCAAAAAGAAAGCAAAATAAACGTTCAATTTCAACAAAACTTGCTGCCATCTGAGAAGAAGAGAAGCAAAATAATTTGAAATGTCAGCCTCAACATTATCCACATGGTTAAAAACAGTGACAAAATGAAAACTGCAAAATCTGGCTAAAAGTAAACAACAGTTCATAGTGAGGAAGAAGAATTTTAGCAAGAGTGGCTCTATAATAGAAGTAATAACATGCTAATAAGTGGATCACTGCTAAGAGAAAAAAGGATATCAAATTTCAAGTACTCAGTCAGTTACAGCAATTCAAAGAACAGTTTTCCATTTACTTTTGCTCCATTGTTGGAAAATCAGGTTTGGTAAACATTCAGGCAGCACAAGAATGGTTGGAGATGATGAGATCAACCTTTGAGGCATATACTGAAAACAATATTTTTAATGCAGATGAGACAGAACTGTTGTAAATACAAGGAAAATCATGCTATGGCAGAAAACAAAATAAGGGAAGGTAACAGAAGCAAAAATTATTTCCACTGCTTATAGCAAAATTCATGATCCAAAATGGATGAAACTTGTTACAATAACTAAATCAATACCTGATCACTCACTGAGAGATTTATTATTAAAACAAACGTTTTCAATTCAGTTTGCAATTTGTTTGCAAAAGCCTGGAAGTTTGCAATTAAAAACTTAAAATAAGAGCAGGAACTTTAATAATATTTGTAGTAAAAACTCTGTATAGTTGTAAGCAATATTAATATTTAGTATTAACACTTTGTTTGTTATATTTGACTATTATATTTTATTTTTAATATTAGCAGCATTTGTATTAATTTTATTATTTACAAACATTAGTTGGCTATTACCGTGTTTCCCCGAAAATAAGACAGTGTCTTATATTAATTTTTGCTCTCAAAGATGTGCTACGTCTAATTTTCAAATGATGTCTTATTTTTCCATGAAGAAGAATTCATATTTATTGTTGAACAAAAAAATTCCCAAGTCTAACTTAGACAAGAGTGACATATATCCGGTCGTGTGGAACTGAACTTAAATAAAACCGAAGTCACGAACCGAAGTGAAATTACAAAGTTTCTGTGCTAGAGTGGACTTCCCACTCTCGCTTCAACTTAACCTTTTCATAGCATTGACATCGGGCTCGACGACCAATTAGTGCTTACTGAACCATAGCATTATGCAAATGTAATGTGGCGTGATTTCTGGCTGACCAATTAGCAATCACCAGCCGTAACGTTATGCAAATCTGTGATTCCCAAGCCGCAGTCTTGTGATTGTCTGCTGACTAATCAGTGGCTGTACTTTCAAAAAGCCAACGGCCACTTTCAATCATTTGTCGATGACCGTTACGACTAAAAAAAAACTTTCCTAGGTCTTACTTTCGGGGGATGCCTTATATTTCGCAATTCAGCAAAACCTCTGCTAAGTCGTATTTTCAGAGGATGTCTTATTTTCGGGGAAACACAGCAATAGCATATATGTTATCAGTTATTAATATTTATATTTTGTATTTTGAACTTGTTGTTCTATTTTTGAAGTGTTCCAATTAACCTGAGGATGATCTATTGATTGGATTGAAAACGTTTGTTTTAATAATAAATCTCTCAGTGAGTGATCAGGTGTTGATTTAGTTATTATTTTCTGCTGAGTACGCTTCGGTTGTTTATACTTGTTACAATTTGAGGTGTTTGTCAATTGCCTTGCAAATAAATGAAGCCTATTTATGATGTATAAATGTACAGGTGTTCAAAAATTATCTGTACAACTTCTGTCTTTAATAGTAGACATTCAACCAAATCTAAAAATTCGCATGTGTCATATTACAGAGAAACTTATTAAGTTTTTCTGTATAAAGATTTTTATTTTGGTTGTGGAGGTGTAATTCATTGGCTAGCTAGATCTCCCAACATCAAACCTTCTGATTTCTTTCTTTGGGGATTTGTCAAAGATCTTATGACAATATGCAGACAATTTAAAAGCACAAATCACAGCTGGTATTGAATTGATTAAGAAATGTTGCAGCATACATGGAGTAGTGACCAGATATTTTGTGACTCATTAATAGTGCACATATCAAATGTTTGTAACATTGTTGCTTTAATGAAAAAACTTTGGAAACTACAGCTAAAAATTCTTGTTCAATAATCCATGTGCAATCATAAATTTTATTAAAGGATAAAGTTAAACAGATAATTTTCAGACCCTGTATAATATGAATAATGTAAATTCATGAATGACAGAATAAATTTTTTTATGAATTACTGAAATGCTGCAATGAAAAACGGCAGCTCAAAACAGGAACATTTTGCTTTCAATTAAATAGTGTTTCTTCTCATAATATTGGCTTGAATTTGCTAAATAGAATGTTCTTCCTCCCACCAGACCCAATAAGCATCTTATAGTCTCTGGATCAATACATAATAGCATTTTTAAAAAGTTACAGACAACAGCTTGTACATTTTTTGGTACAAGAGATTCCAAATAATGTTCTCTTGAAGGACAAAGAAATGGACTGTCTTGGATGCAATGCACAACTGTGTGATGGTATAAAATGATATTTTATCTATTACAATACACAATTGTTTTTCAAAGGCCAGTTTTGTTTACTAAAATTGTGGAAGTGTTAATGGAGAATCAATGCACAACTGCATGTAGGAAAAAGTATTTAAGCAGACATATTTATATAGTTTATCACTTCAAAGTAATATTTTATGAATACTTCAATGTATAGCTTATCTTCTTAGTTTAATACTTTGTATCAGTAATGCAAATTTACAATACCTAGATGTAACCAGTTGTTCTTATCATTTTTTCATTACTCAGATAGGTTATTTACTGTTTCCAAACATATTAATAAATATATATTATAGAGTATGGAATATGCAATTCTTTAGCAATTACTGACAAACTTAATGGTAGCACCAAGTTTGAGGTTTGCTTCAAAACTTCAAACTCTGAATTTTTTGGATTGGATAAAAGAACAAAACAGTTTAAATTTTACAATAATTCAAAGCACTTCATTCACAAAAACAGAAAAGAACCTTCTGAAGGTAAAATGTTTAGTATATTGAAGAACATTTAGAGCATTAGAAGAAATTAAATTATTCTTTAAAAATTAGACTGTTGTCAATATTCAATTTATATTTTAATAACATATAAACTTACTTTAATATCTGAAGTTGCTATTGATCTCGACTGAAGGACAGAAGAAACAAACAGAGTAACTTTTGAAACCTTGCGATAAAGTCCCGGTTGTGTTCCATGCTGAACTACTCCTTCCACTTTAATTGCCAAATGTGCAGTATTTAAAATATAAATTGGATCTCCAGCTACTTTAGGTTGAGGAGATATGGCTAGCTAAAAAGTAATTTATTTATATCAGTTTAAACTTATCCAAAGATCCAAAATTATCAGAATAAAAATTATATGTAAATTTATTTAACTTTAATCTGATAAACTTACTTTGATACTAGTAGATTGAAGAGTTTGGAAAAATAAACGAGGCAAACACAGAGGAACAAGAGCTAACTCGTGGCTTACACGTAAAAGATTATCAATTTCCTAAAAAGATTTTAAAATTAAATTACTCATAAGTATTTGAAATTTTTTTTTTTATTCACTTTAACATTTTAAATAATTATTACCTTTCTGCCAATAATTCTATAATCTCCTTGAAAACCAATCTCTCTTATATAAACAGAAGAACGGCGACAAGCATCTAAAATTTTTTGGTTTTCTAAGGTTTGTTGAGTGCATTCTATATTTAAAATATCTTCATTTGTTAAGCCAGTTGATAAACTGTTAAATTTTTTAAAAAGATGTTTGTTTTATCAAATCTGATATTATGATAAAAACTATAAATTTGACTGTCTTAGTAATATAAAAAAAATATTATTAAAAGTATAAAATAATTAAACTGATATTTAATAAACCATTTAATATATATCTATAAGAAGATTAATACTCTTGTTTTTTCTGGAAAAGAGAGAGAGAGAGAGCAGTCTTCATAAGCATAAACTTTAACATAACTATTTCTTTATAAATTCTTCTAAAATGACAACTATATCTGTCAATATATGACACAAAAATCATCACAAACAATATGCAATAAAAGCAGTTGTAAACAAGAAATATATATAAAAAAAACAAAAAATGTTGTTGAGAGAATATGAAAATTGATTAAGAGAAACAAAAATAACTTTTGCTTTATAAAATAGTGATAAAATAGAAAACAAGATATTAACAATCTTCATCTTGTACATATCTTATTGCTATGATTTACTTTTTCAAATAATTAAATGTATTAAGTTAATTAATAAACAAAATTAAATCTTTAACAGTATAGAAATAGTTATACATACAAACATGAAATGTATTTCAGAGGTCTTTGTTTTGCTTCAAACTATCCCTTTAACTTAATACAACAGTATCAGATTCCAAAAATAATGTACAGAAAATATTAAATAGAAAAAAACTAATTATTATAACTTATAGCGGATAAGTATTAATATTAATCCTACTGTAATTTTGACTGAACTAAAATAGCTACACTTTAAAATGTAGCTTTGATGTGCTAATAAGATTTAAACAAATTACACTGAAAATAGTAATATTCATGGAGAAGAAAATTCATCATAGCAGGAAAGATAAGTAAAAAGTATTATGCAATACATTTTGTTGATATGGACTTCCAATATGAACAATTTTGGATAATGCGTATTAAAAAATCACAAGATATGAACAAGATGGTGAAGATTATCAGTATCTTAATTATTTGTATTATTTCTAGAATTATACACACTGTAAGCATTAGACTTATTTAAAAAAGTTTATAAACAGTTTTTACCACTAGCAATATCATGAGTAAATTATTCCACTTGGATAAACCATATTGTTTTGAAAAATAACAAAGCTCTACATAAGCTGTTTAAGATTACTTTATTTGATTATCATTAAAATATTTTTGATGTAGTAAAATAATTTTGCTATGAGAGGGGTGTGTCACAACTATTGTGGTTAGTGCTTTTCACATTGAGCTTAAATGATAAGAAGAAAATCAGTAAGCCATTGATTTACAAACCCACTTAAATTAATAAAGGCAAAAGTATTACTTTAATATTAATTATTTCATAGATTAGGTATCACTCTGTCAATTATAGTCCTATGCAACATTTACCAGTAAAATGTGGAAGACCAACAAGTTAAACTAAATCATGTAACAGAAAGGACCAACCCAGCCAATACCAAACTAATAACAAATTTCAATTTGCCTACAGATAATGACTCACAAGGATCATCTACAGCTGCTACTAACTCTTGAAGAGAAAAAGATCTACAGAGCCCACAAAAACTATCAGGTGAGCAAAAACTTTTATGTTCTACTTCATTAACAAATTCGAGTGAACCGACAAACACTTCAATTAAAGATTTAATTAACACTTCTAGACTGTTTAACCAAATTCATTTGTGAGAACCTGGAGTTAAAAAGGGATATTTTAATGTTTTAAATAAAGTTAATATTTTTAAGTGTAATTTTAAATCAAGATGATAGAAAAATTATCTATCTTTGTTAAAGGAAGTACTTCCTCTGAATCATAGAGAGAAGCAATGTAGTTCTTTCAAAAACTGATAGTTGAGTTTGATGCCTCACTTGACTATTGGCCAAAAAATGCCTGACTTCCTCCTCAAGTCAGAAATATGGCATGATATTCAAACTATACCATTGGTGGACCAATGAGTATATAAGGTGAAGAGTCAGCTTCAAACAGGGTTTTCATCATGCTTTAGTTACCCTTTAGACACATGCTTAAGTCATGCATTAGCCATAATTCTTGCTCTTATTTGACGCCCTTGCCAAGTGCCGAATCGTCGATTTAACAAAATCCCTACTCTCCATCTCTAAATGTTGTTAATGTTCTCAACACCTTCATCATCTTGAATGTATGTAAACAGGTAACAAATTGATAATTATTGTAAACTCTCTCTAATCAAAAAATATCAAGTTATTTAATAGTTTAGAGGTTAGATTGTAGAACCTCTCCATTTATTTTTGTATAGTTATTTCTTTGATTAGTTCATTTAAGTTTATCGTTATTTAATGTTTAAATAAATAATTCTCATTATAATCAAATCTGTCTAAGTGCCAAACTCGATTGTCTTTCCCATGGAAACCTGCTAAGTATACCCTCCTAAGTTCTGGTCATTCTTGAAAGTATTTTGGACCACTTGGAAATTGATTTAATTCAACTGCAAGTTAGGATGAGAATTAGTTTAACTGGTGTCAGGACCTTGACAAGAGGAAGGATTTTAACAATCTTTTCCCAATATCATTCTTTATTAATCCTGTAGTGAGCGAGGGTAAACCTGGAACCCCCCAATCTCACACTTTCTATAAAAGACGACCTTGACTTGATACATGAATGTATTTGAGAATCTAATGAACAATTTCAAAAAATGGAAAAGGAATTCATGCAATTTAAAATGGACTCTCTTATTAATAGTTTTCATCAAAATAATTTAATTTTATATGACTACTCCCCTTCAAAAAATATTTCTAAATTAGAAATTCAAAATTTTATGATGCAAACTCTGGGCCTAGAGTCAATGGAGGACAATCTGGATATAGTTCAATTAACCAAGACAACCAACTCAATCATAAGACTTACATTTAAAAGTAATCAAGTTCGGGATCAATTTTTTACTGCCTTTATTAAGAAAAAACAACAAAATGAAAAAACAAAATCAACGAATTAAACTACATAATGATTTTATGCTGATAGGTCAGGACAAAGCAGTTGGTTAATGTGAAGATACCCTACCTCCTACCAAAGCATTCAAGCTGATAAACAATCAACCACAGAATGCTTTCTCAAGAATAGTAACTACAAAAAAATCAAATGCTCTCAGTACTAAACTGGAATTGCCAGAGTCTAAAAAAACAAAATATTGTATAATTCCTTCCAATTTAATCTTAAAACAGATATTGTTGCTTTAATGAAACATGAATAATCTTGGAATTGTTTTAAAAATCAAACATTTAAATATGTCTGATTTGATTTAAAGACTATTTAATAGAAAGCATTCTGGCCTGGAAGTCAACAGGCCCAGGTCAACCAAAAGGAGGCATATGTATCCTAATAAAAAAGAATTTATACAAAATTTTTCAAATTAACAAATCGAATAACTTTATAATGCTTTTAATTTTAGTGATTAACACAGAATTTGAGAATCTAAGGAAACTCATTATTTTGTTGGTTGCTTATAATCCTCCAGATTATTTATATATACTAAAAGGAGTTTTTAAATCAATATAGTCATGGCAGCCTATCACACTGTAGGCCCTTTTATTGGAGGACTTTCATTCATTTCAGCTATACAAGAGTTATTCTTATTGTAATGGTCCAAACAACAAACTAATACAAAATATTTGATACTCAAAAGACATACACACCAACAGACTAGGCCAAAATTTAATAAACTCAACAATAGATCATGAAATGTTTATATGGCCATTTAATAAGTACATGACTGTAGATTTCCCATTGCATTATGCAGGTGTATTCAGTAGGACAATCAACTTTACAATATGCACTGAGTTCCTGTTGGATTTGTGTATGGAATTTACTATAACAACTTATGATGCCTCTGATCATTTTTCTTTGATAGCAAAATTCCTTATGTATACTCAAAAAAAGATAAATAACCTTAATAATAGTTACCAAAAGAGAAACTGATTTTTAAGATATTTCAGCAAAATAGAGAACCAATTTAATCACCTTCCTGAAATAAATGGTTCTGTGGTGAAATTTATATAGTCATGGGATAATTAATGAATGAATATATACAAATAAAGAATGAAGCATAAATTTCTCATAAGTTCTAGAAACCTGGTTTGATTTTGTTTGCTACAAGATGAAATTATTAAAACAGCAAAACCTAAAATTATTCAGAAAGGACTCAAATGATACTATTTTATGAATTATATGAAAGTTAAACAAACTTATAGTACTGCTTAAAGCCAAAAAGAAAAGACATTTCAGAAATCTGAAATCTACTTTGATCAATGAGTGTAGGAACAGTAAATTATTCTGGACAACAATATGTAAATTTCATTTTAAAATAATTTTGGCAATAGTTCTTCAGTTAGAAGTTTTTCCTTGTGTCAAAGTTAATATCAGCATTTTCCCATAATTACACCTATCCAACCATTCTTAATTAATGCTGCTACCCATAACAACCATTTGGACTCATTCGATCAACAACATAAGGAAGTAGTTTAAGAAATTTGGTTGGAATATTATCTCTACCAGGCGATGATTTGATTTGTGTCTTGTAGCTCTTCTAATGTGATTTTAAATCACATTAGAAGAGCTACAAGACACGAATCAAATCATCGCCTGGTAGAGATAATATTCCAACCAAATTTCTTAAACTACTTCCTTATTTGCAAGAAAGGAGCTACAGTAGAGCATTGTTTATCCGAAAGCTGATAAACCAAAACATCGGTTAACCAAAAGCGTTCCAGTCGGACTGTATCGTGCTGAATTGAACATTTTTGATACTAGATTAACTTCCGAAATATAATTTTTTTGTTTATATTTTTCAATATATTTATTTCGCTTGTACAAAATAAAGAAATAATTTTTAACGATACAATAGTCATGATTATTATTTTTAAAAATTTACGTTAGGCTTAACATTGATGAAAATTCAATGCAAAGAGACATGCAACAGAGAAAAATTTCAACATGGGATAGGTTAATATATTTTTTCGTACATAATCATTTATCCGAAAAATA